TCTCTATATATATATATATATATATATATATATATGATAAAAATATAGTTTTAATGTATGATATATTTATGGGTAAAAGTGGTCAATATAGATAGAGCGTATTTAGATATAAAAGTGGACAATGAGAATAATACTAAGCAGTGACAGTTTCATTCATGCTTACACACACACACACATATATATAATTATTTTAGGATATTAAAACATGTTATAAAAATCGCTATACAATTACAATTATGTTTTCAACACTATATATATATATATATATATATATATATATATATATATATATAGCCTTTATATATATATATATATATATATATATATATATATATATATATATATATACAATTATTTATTTAAAATATGATTCCAACACGCTACATTAGAGGTCTCATGTTTCAAAACAAGAGCCGAAAACTTCAATATAATTATTTGAATTAAATTGAATTAAAGTAAGCTCTGTTCCATCTTCAAGCGAAGTTTTTGGGGAATAATTTATTTCTGAAATTTACGTGTTTTAATAGCATATTCATTATTGAAATAAAAATTTCCATGGTAACAGCCAGGGCGATTGTTTAAATAGGAAGGGGTGTTGAGTGTTAATAATTTGTATCAGTATAGAGTTACATTCATAGATGACAAGTCAGGGTAAGGTGGGGGTGTCTAAATGTAAAACGGAAGATGTTTTCACCTAGTCTGGTTTACGTGTCTATGGAGATTTATTTATTTTTTTATTTTATTTCTTTTTGAAAGGGCTTTGTGTATATAAAAAAACTGCCGTAACATTTGTTTTTTGACGACTTCATAAAGGGTTATCTTTTTTTGTAGGGTATTTAAACTATTTATTAGGGCTATGGATTATAAAAATTATTTTATTGTATGTTTGTTTTTAAGGTAATTATTCAATGCAAAAATTCCATGATGTCGGCAAAAAACCGTTAACTTATGTCTATTGTTTAATAGATTTTTTATTATTTAGAAACTTAATAATGTAGTTTCTCATGGAGGCACAAAGGGCATGGGTCACCCCAAGTTTTACAAGTTCTAGTCCTGTTTATAATTTTCCATTTTACTTTAGGTGTCCTATTTATTTCCTTCAAATGCCAAAAATATTTAGATAGAGAAGTCTGATTTCTTTTATTTATATTGTTGAAAGAGCACTTATGCTGCCTCCATCTGGCTTTAAATTCATTCTTCGTAGACCCAATGTATATCATATTAGTATTAGGACTCTCAATGGATGAGATAGTGCATTGGTATACCACAGATTTGACGCAACATTTATTTTCCAATGGGCAGTCTTCTGGGTTTCTACAATCACACAATTTTTCACTGTTATTGTCTAATTTAAGTGTAGGGTTTTTATTAATACTATTCAGGCATGGGGGTTTGTTCAGGATTTTATTATTGTGTTTTTTTTATTGTACTTTCTAGATTTTCAGTGCAGCTGTAACTCAATTTTAGGGTGTTCTTATTAAATATTTTACTAAGTCTACTATTGGTAGGGAAGTGTTTTTCAATTAAAGCTAGGAATTTCTGTCCTAGCTTAATACTAACCATTTTTCCCCTGGTTAGTACAGTTGTTTCTATAATTAATGTTTGCATTTTTGTATCCACTATTTTTTAGGGCAGCGTTATAAAAGCTACTGTGTTGTTGGAATATTTCTTTGTTAGTGGAGTTTATGCTGATTCTATTTTCTATTGATGAGGGTATATGTTTAATTATGGATGGAGGGTGGTTTGACTTCGGGTGTATATATAAGGGGTTAGTATTTGGTTTTTTATAAGGTTGGTATGTGTTGTTAGTTAAATCTAGAGTTACGTCGAGGAAGTTAATGATTGTGATAAAATACTAGTTAAGTCTGACAAAACTGGCAACTTCTACAAATTGGCAGCAGATGACTACAACAACTTAATTAAAAAAAACTTAACCAGGACTTATAAAAAAGCTTGCAACAACAACATAAATATGGTTAATAGCATTAACAGAGCTAGTAAAAAAATAACTGATAAATTAAAAATTAGCGATAAACTTGCTGAAAAGGAATAACCCTTAAAGATCACAAACAAGATTTTATGGGAAATCCTACCACTAGAATAATTAACCCTACCCGACCGACACAGGAAAGACCAGCAAAAGAATCCTGGAAAGAATTACTTGCCAAATAAAAAAACAGCTTGGATTAAAATTATGGATCAATACCAAAGATGTCATCAATTGGTTTACCAATATTGATAATAAACCAAATTGCACCCTATTACAGTTCGATATCGTGGATTACTACCCGTCAATATCGAAGGATCTATTTACGACTGCCCTGGAGTTTGCTGCTGTGTATTCTAACCTGAAAAAGGAATAAATAGATATAATTCACAGTGCAAAAAAATCTGTCCTCATTCATAATGGGGACCAATGGATAAAAAACAATAACGACATTTTTGACATTACTATGGGATCTTTAGACTCTGCAGAGACTTCTGATCTTGTTGGTCTTTTAATACTGTACAACTTGACCGCGCACCGTGAAATAGATATTAAGGACATCGGACTGTATAGAGATGACGGACTCATGGTAGTGAGGAGTTCTACTAATTTTAAAATAGAGAAGATAAGAAAAATTATATTTAGTGAATTTAAAAATCTAAACTGAAAGATAACAGTCTGTACTAAATTGAAAAGGGTAAACTTCCTCGACGTAACTCTAGGTTTAACTAACAACACATACCAACCTTATAAAAAACCAAATACTAACCCCTTATATATACACCCGAAGTCAAACCACCCTCCATCCATAATTAAACATATACCCTCATCAATAGAAAATAGAATCAGCATAACAAAGAAATATTCCAACAACACAGTAGCTTTTATAATGCTGCCCTAAAAAAATAGTGGATACAAGAATGCAAACACTAATTATAGAAACAACTGTACTAACCAGGGGAAAAAACAGGAAAAAAAATCATTTGGCATACCCCTCCGTTCAACCAAATGGTTAGTATTAAGTTCAAAAGGCCATCGCTGTACCTCAACACAGCAACTCATAACTAATGTTCAAAATGTCCTCTTGATGCGTTCGATTGACAATGGTTTGTAAGAACAAAATTTTCAATCTCTATGCGCCTGTATTTCGTAATGAATAGCGAATCGTGTATATTTTTTGCACCAGTCACTTATTCATTTAATCATTTAATCATTTAATACACATTCATCTCACAGACCGAATTGGGTAAAAATGGCAAATTGTTGCACAAATACTACTTTTAAAAGAAACACGTCTGAGTCTCTGAAATCACATCGTTTTCATCGCTGTTAGCCTTGTTTATTTTTCTTTCTTTATTTCGGATAAACCCCGCATGAGTAGCGAATTTCAAATGGAGATAAGGGTGGGTGGCCAAGCGTCAAGTGGCAGGCCTTCCAGCGATTGTATTGTGTGGTAAGGTGGGTCTGCAATGAAGGAATTTGAAATTTGAAACCGATTGATTATTTTACACAACAGCTGCATTTGGGCGATTGGGAGTTGTTTTACGAAACCCGATCGAAACTAAAACAAACACACAAACACACAAACACACACAAAACACACAAACACACACACACACAGCTATAGACAAAGCCTGCACGTATATTTGGGCACCTTGACATGGAGTAACGATGAGCAAGCCAATTTCATACACCATCGTTAGTGTAGCAAGTTCGGACTTCATTAATTTCCTTACACGTTTGGCTTTGAGGTAGTTTAAACTAGGCTTAGCAACTTGCATATATGGTATCCATGGTTATTATGTTTATCAATGTTTAACCTTCATGCCCCCCCCCCAAAAAAAAATGGCGTATCAAAAGGACGCTTATTCTCTTGACACCGCTATTAATGTATACGCTTTTGACTCCCTCGGCAATGTTTATTAACAAGATTATAAAAATATACGAACCAAGTACAATGCAATATTTATTATTTACCTTTTATAAATTATAATGCATTTGAAAACAATATTTTTATTAAAAAAAAAATTATAAATATTACAAAATTATCAAAATATGGAAACCAGCTACAATGCAATATTTATTATTTACCATTTTATAAATAACTATGAATACAATGTTTTTATTCAATCTAGTAAATAGAAATAAATAGTATTTAATAGATTTTGTTCTCAATTTTCAAGAATAAAAAATGTATAAATCTATTTTCATATGTTCTGCTTGATTAAAATTCTAATCATCGATTTTTAAAAGCAATAAACAATGCCAAGGAAGTTAAAAGTGTTATCGGAAATTATAGTGTCAAGAGAATAACCGCCCTTTTGGCACACCATTTTTTTGCGGGCACGAAGGTTAAACGTTGCCAATATTTTCGTGGCAATTGTTCTGATGAGTTTTCCACTTTAGTACGTCGAATTCATGAATTTAAACGCAGTACTAGATTGACAGGTCACATCATTTTACTGTTGAAATTGCTAGATGTATCCGTAGGTTCTATTCTAATAGTTTCTTCTCTCGCACTCCTCGCCTGTGGAACTTACCTTCAGCTTCTTGTTTCCTGTCAATTATGATCTTCAAAAATTTAAATGTAGCGCCAATCGTTATCATCTATCTTTTTGAAGCCTATTATTTTTATTGTCTTTTCTTCTCAGTAACGTTTTCTCAGTTTCCCTCGATCTCAGTAACCCATTGCGGCTTATTGGCTTTATCGCCTTGCTTAGGGATAAACGATTATGATTGATTGATTCATTTTCTACGGTTTATAAACACTCTGTAGGTCATTCAAAGCCAGAAATACTTCTAGATTGCAAGAACCTCCTCTTTTCTCCTTCTTTGGATATAACAATGATTTAGTGATACAAGTCTTACTAATTAACCCTTAGCTGGGGGGGTGAGGTGGATTCATACCTTTCCCAAGGGTATTTGCGCGTCAGTGAATATAACGAACATGACTGGAATTGGAACTCGGCTCTCCGATTAAAAATTCTGAGCTATTATCGATTACACCATCCATATAGCACCTGGTATTCCCAAGCGGTTACCCATCTAGGTACTGACCAAGCTCGACGTTGCTTAACTTCGATGATCGTACGGGAACAGGTGTTTCAACGTGATATGACTGTAAGCCTATAAACGATCAACAAATCATATCGTTACAGATGTGCGAGTGGTGTAAAAATTATCGGTATTGAAAGAGCACTCGGCGTGTTGAGTTCGAATCCTGATCTAGTGTTTTGCATTCACTTCGCAGTAATCAGCGTGAGAAAAGCGGATATGTTTTATTGGCAGTCAGGCTAAGAGTAGGACTCAGATTTCAAAACCGTGGAAAAGGCAACAAGAAACAACTCTATTGTCTTTACCCAGGAAGTCATTCATGCATAGTAAAGAAAATATAGCTGCAGGGATCGGACCTGAAAAAAATAAAATAAAAGAATGAAAAGAAATAAAAAACATCTGCTCATTTATTATTACTAACTGCTAGAATGTCTGATAGGTTGATACATTCGAATGACAATGGCTTGTAAGAAAAACAGGTTAAGTCTATATGCACCTATATTTTTTTTATGAAGTCTAGGAGTGCCCAGTAGCGAATCGTGTCTATTTTGAAACCAGTCACCATCATTTAATACGAAATTCATCAGACAAACTTGTGAAAAAAAGAGGGAAAAAGGCACAATGCTGCACGAATTCTGACAGGCTTTCAAAAGAAATGCAGCCGATTAAGTAAAAGCGTAAACTGAGATTTCGAGCCTTAGTTGGCAGCCATTCTAAGAGAAATACTGCTTAGATTTCAAAATCATGTAAAAAGCAACAAAAAAACATTCTATTGTTTTCCTAATAATTCATGGCTATTATGCATTGTTTTACACTATTGTTCACCCACTACAAGGCCAAAGAGCCAGTCAGGGTAGAGAACGAGATTGTTTTATGGAGAGGCGCTAAGAGTTACGGATTATGCAGGATAGATAATGATTGGCCTTAGACTTAAAAAAGGAAGCTGTGTAGAGCCATGATCGCTTATGTCCTGAAAGGACATGACATTAAAAAAAAAACCTGTTCACCTGTTGTCAGCAGCGTCTAGAATGTCAATGGATTGTAGGAACAAATTCTCAGTCTGTATGCGCATTTATTTTCAGATCACCGTGCGTTCAATAGCGAATCGTGTATATTTTTACACCAGTCACTATCATTTAATAGACATTTATCACACAGACTTTTGAGAAAAGAAAAAAGAAAGAAAGAAAGGTGTAATGGCATTTCTCTGTATCGATCTCAGCCTGTTCGTATCCACACTTCTCTCTTAATATATGTTAAGCTTAACATAACGCAGCACAAGGTAACAGTAGTTTTTTTTACTCTCTTAAGGCTAGTTCGACACACAAACTTTACATTTCTTACAGTAACTACCTGAATGCTCATCCCTATTTAAATAGTCACCCTCTAAGGTCTAAGTATGCAGATCGCTGCTTAACCTCTGAAATCTTTTCTTTCAGAATGAATTGAGTGTAAGCTACATAATCACAAGCGTTGTCTCAGAAAACTGGTTACGGGTTGTAATATTATATAATTTTTTATCGTTTCACTCCAAGCAGAGCGATAATGCCACTAGGACGCAAGGGGTTACAGGGAGTAAAAGGGATTGAGACGACTTTAATGACGAGAACTGAGGAAAGGACAATAAAGAAACAGGATTCAGGAAGACAAAAGATGGCGATTGACGTTGTATTTCTTAATATGTTAGGTGGCAGGAAAAAGCAAGAAATCGGAAGGGAGTTCCCCAGGTGTGAAGTGTGGGGAAAAAACTGTTAGAATAGAAGTGACAGTTGCATCTAGCTAGTTCAACATTAAAACGGTGAAACCTAGTTGCCAATATAGAAGCACGTTTAAATGCATGCAATCGAAACACTAAGAAAAAAAGCTCATCGAGACAGTTGCCATGAAAATGTTTGTAAAAAAGACAGTGTGAAGCCAGGTCACGTCAGTGAGAAAGTGACTGAAGTTGAGATGCCAGAACAGGATCGATTACATTGCAGCCCTTCCAGAAATTATATAGCAAGTTTTCTCAAACTCTTTCCTCTCACATACTCTTTCCTTCGGCGTATCCTCTGAGAAAAGTATGATATAAAATGTATGGCTACCGTAAAATGCATAACGGACAAGTAGAATTTGATTATATTTTTTATTAAATACATTGTTACACATTTAATGAGATGGGTGAACTTGATTCTTTTCAACAAGTAAATCAGTTCTGGGAACAGTCTCAGAGCGACGCACACGTATGACATTTTCAGTTTAGAATCTTGCACGAGATTTGTTTTTTTTATTATTGAAAACAATTTTCACAACGGTGGATGGGCAAAGTGAAATAATTTCTGTATATTTTTAAGACAGAGATGAGTATGGTTTCACCATGGAACACCATTAGTAGGGTAGAGATTTCAAAAAGGTCTTTGACCACTCATCTTGCAAATTGTCTGGAAGAGGTCTGTGATTAATTCCAAAGGAATTCCGAATGACTTGATAATCAAGGGAAAATGCAGAAAGGAAATTGTAACTTTCTATCCGAAAAAAAAGGAACAGAAGAGTCGCTAACTTCTTTTCATTAGTGCCAAGAATCTGAGAGATTTGATCGTGTACGCATTGTATTTCTTTCGTGTAACCCGGTATGAAAACTCATGACATGTAGGCTTGTAAGGATAGAAAAATAATGATTTGCCAAGTAAGCACGTAACAATCAGAGCAAGAAAATAAAACCAGCCGAGACAATCACTTCCCAGCAGGCAAACCAAGACAAAAATCTTTCCTTATACCTGACGTCTATAGAGATAACAGCTTAGTATAGCTCTCTCTGGTGAAACAATTTGACATTCAAGCAAGAGGACTTTTAATTTCTTTATCAGTATTCCTCATTGCTTATTATTCACTAGTGTGTGTTATCTTACTTGACAACATGAACAACTTAGTTTTTCATACCTTCCAAAAAGACTGTCACACATTTTTGTATATTGTATATAAATGTTGTATTACAAGCATCAAATGGAGTCTATAGCTGGTCAACTCTTTCAGCCTTTTAGGAGTTCAAAGGTCAAGTGACACCCAGCTATACATTTTCAATTGTCGGAAGATTGATCCTACAACAGACTTAATCAAAATCGTTGCACAAAAATACAATTAAAAAAGCATGACAATTTCAGTTTATATTTTCAAATAGTCTTAAATTCAAATAATAGATGCAAAATAAAATTTGGAATATAATACACTTCATATAATAAAACGTTTTCTTTTATATCTTTATAATTCGGTACAGAGAATGAAAATTCTTTTTTTTAGAGTTCACTAAAAGCGAATCAAATATTCTTTTTCAAGAATTCGCTGTAAAGAGAATAATCATGCGGGAATGCTAAATTTATTTTTATCTATTTTAAAATTTTTTATTTAAAAATGTTTAGGTGCCCGACGTTTTTGGACGCACAGATAAGCCAACCTCATTCAGTTACCCTACTTTTTTTTTTTATCACTGTTGTTTTTAAATAACATTCAAAAATTTAAAATTTAGCATTTCCACATTTTTAGCGTTTCTTCTCGGCACGTAATTATAACCAACGTTTACACCCACCCCGATTTTTCCACTTTGTCATTCAACTTCCTAATATTTCAACAAAATCAGAGACGGATAAAAAAAAAGAAAGAAGAAAAAACAAAACAAAACATACAAACAAAAAAGAATTTGCAACTAATAAATAAAATCGTATGATTGTTATTTACACAGAATAAAACTCTTCAACTGCGTTAGACTTAAAGATGTAAACAATAAAAAAGCAAAGAGACTCATTAATGGAGTCTATAAAAACACGTCGTAAAGAAGGGACTGTTTACTGAATTTCAGACACATTTTATGTGGCACGATCAAAGTAGCCATCATGTAAAAATACACTTCATTGCTTTCCATCTAAGTGTCACCAATTTGTTGTCTAGTTTACTAAGAAGTTTCCCGTTGTAACGTTTATTTCATTCTCGATTTTAAGAGAATGTGAAGCCTTTAAATTTTCAAAGAAATCTAAAATGCTATTATCTCACTTGATATCAGATTTCTGAGAAATCGCCAATGTGTTTGAACAAGCAGGCACCGGGTAAGATCACACGCCTCAAGCAACAGCCCAAACAAAACGGGTTAGGAGATACTGTATTAGGTACTTCCAAAGATTCACGACGCCTAAAGTTTAAAATGAATTTTTAAATATGAAAAATCTTTCTTGTAGATTTTATTTTAGTTTTAATTTCAAGCCTATAGATTAAATTCAACATTCCCAAGAAGCAAAATACTTTTTCTTTATTTCAAAACTAATTTGAATTGTTTAGAATGTGTTTTCGTTTTGAAATCAATAACATCGCTGATTTTAGCGTCATTTTTCCATCCGTCATCACGATGTAACTCTCTTGATAAAAAAAAACTCTTATATAATATAATTTTGTGAAACTTTATTTGAGAAATATTAGCTGATTTGAAGTTTAATTAATTTTATTTGAAACAAATTTTACTTACTTTAAAATATCGCAGTAATGCATTTTAACACTTTGATACCTGTTTATTTTAAGTATTGACAGGTTGAGAGCTTGAATGACAGACGGAAGTTTATCTAATGTTTTTCTACAGGGGATATATATGTAAAATTTATTTGAGGAATATAACGTGAGAGCATTTTTATATTTTTTTTAATTACCCAGTAATCTTAAAAATATTAGGAAAATATTCTCCGTAATCTAATGTTTTATTGAATTTTAGGTACTTTCGCTTTAAATTTACATTTTAGGTACTTTCGCTTTAAATTTACTATAGATATGGATTTTATTTTCTGATAATGCCGTGTATGGACGTCTGTATTTATAAAAAATGGGTGCGTTTATACACTCACACACACAAAATTTAAAAATTCGTTTAAAAATATTGGTGTTTGATTAGGTACCTCCATGAGATCGCTAAAAATGAGCATAACATGATGAAAAAGACGCCAAACTTGACGAAAACAAAATTTTATCGTTTAAATGTTTATGTTATTATTAAGAGGAAAGATCAAAGTATTTTGGGCGTATTTTTTACATTTTTTAATCGTTCCTAGCACGTCC